CATGAAGCAAATGGGCAGGGGAGGAGATTGACTTGCAAGTCTACAAGGTAAATGTTAAACCTTATGTTGTTAATGGAATTAATGATGTGATTAGTTAAATTAATTGATGTTATTAAAATTTATTTAGATTATGAAGTGTGAAGAATCCAATAAATCCTTGGTATTTGAAGAAGGCAAAGAATCATAAAGGTAAAAGAGGTTAGCATTTTAATAATTATTTTATATTTAAATAAGGGAAAAAGTATTTCAAAAGTTTCTTGAAGCAAATGTGAGTGATTATTATATTTTATGCATTAAGTTTATTTTATTAAGTGAGTAATTATTTTATTAAATGATTAAAACAAGTATTTCAATGATGTCTGACATTTTTTTATACAGCAAATGTAAGTGATTATTTTATTTTATGCATTAAATTAATATTTTATTAAGTGAGTAGTTATTTTATTAAATGATTAAAATAATTATTTCAGTGATGCATGACATTTTTTTGTAGTCTAAAATGACATCACAAACTGGAGGAAATAATTTACATGTGAAGGTACAAGATTAAGACATCCGTAATTACCCCCTAGATGGTGTTGGCAAGGGATGCGATTGTTGTCCTCACTTTTTTTGGGACCCATTTTCTATCGATAGAAGTCTAAGATTTAGTCTCAAGGTTTCCTAATGACCTTTACAGATGACTCGATGGTCAATCGATGCTCTTTGCAGTTATTAACTCCAATCTAAACGACCAATTACCATTACAACTTCTCATTATGGCCTAGTGGCCAACAACGACTTATGTGACTTACCGTTACTGTCACTTGTAACTATGACCTTTGTGACAATTGACACTATGGCGGCAAGGGCTATCAAAAAGGCTCGTTTTTCGCAAAAAAGTTAATGTTCGGCTCATTAAAAAGCTTGCATTCGATTTGTTTGTTAAGTTAACGAGTTGAACACAAATAATTTTTTTTGCGCTCGATATATAAATGAGTCGAAGACAAACAAATATTTGTTTGTTCGTGTTCGACTTGTTTTGGTTATATATATATATATATAATATATATATTGATGAATAGTATTTTTTAAAAACTTAATTGACAAAAATGCCACAAAGATTTATAATCAATTAAAACTATTAAATAAAAAATAGATTAAAAATACATTAAATTTTATTTAAATGTTGTTTTAATAAAAATAATAAGATTTAAATCTCACCACACCCTTAGCCTCATACGTTTGTGTTACTATGGTAGCCAAAACGATTTTTAGTTCGCGAACAATTCGTGTTCAACTTGCTAAGCAAATGAGTAGAACACAAACACTTTTTTTTTTCAAAATATAAACAAGCTGAACACGAATAGTGGTACTTTTTAACGAGTCGAATAGGAGCTGAGCCTGGGCTCGCTCGCGTTCTAGCATTTGCACCCCTAATTGCAGCTCCCCTAGGAGTTCATGTGAGTCTAGCCGACTTGTAGGACGGCTCGAGCCCAGTCTGAAAAGTGACTCGTGGACTGAGCTCGATGAGCTAACAAGTCAAGCTCAGCCCCACCCTGACTTGCCTCGTTAGCTCGTGAGTCGACTCGTTTAAAAAAATATTAACAAAAAAGATATAATCAAAATATATAAAATTTCATAAGTTTATCATAAAGATATTAAAAAAGTCAAGAAAACTATATTTTTATTATATATTATGTGATTTATTATTATTTATCTTTTAACTATTCATTATATTTGTTAACTTATTTTAAAGTTATTTAAAATTAATATAATTTTCTCACTTTTATATTAAATAAGCCCAGTTCAAACTTATAGACTTAAACTTGAACTCGAGCTTGATAAAATTAATCAAGCTCAAGCTCCAAGCGAGGGCTGCACGTTGCACCCCTAAACTCCCCATTACAACTCATGTGACCAACTACGATATATCTGGTTCACTACTGTTGTAGCTCCCAACTGCAATCTTTGTGACCAGCCAACGTTATTCTTGCTCTCATTACGATATTTGTGACCAATTACGACTTATATGACTCACTATTGTTACTACTTCCAATCGTAACCTTTGCAATTATAACTGCTCATCGTGTCATATGTGACCAATTACGACCTATATGACTCACTGCTACTATAGCTCTCAAATATGATATCTATGACTAAATAATGCCACGACAACTACCAACTATGTCCCATATAACTAAATACTGCTGCAACTTCTGATTATGATCTTTATGACAAACTAGCATTATAACCCCCACAATCTACAACATTTGTGACAAACCATTACATTTATAACAATCAACTATTGTCTTTACATCCTACTATATTTATTAGTGTCAATAACTACAATTATTGTAGAGCAATTACGATTATGAAAGTTGTACTACTATTGTACATTTTTAATTATCAATTCTGTAATTTCATATTCCATAATTTAAGAAAAGAGTAAACCTATGTACTTACATCACATAATGAATTACGTTCATTGGGCAATGATTTTTTTCCTTTAATGAGGTTTTTTTCACTTAAAAATCTTGACGACTCCTCTTATTATTTTTCAATTATATGTGTGTCTGTTAGATTCTCGTACATTGCTGAGACAAAATTTTCTTTCTGTCGCGTGAATTATGTGACTCATAATAATAGTAATATTTTTGACACAAAGTCAAAGATGAAGGTTTTATGTATGTAAATATCAAAGTTTAAGTGTTAAATATGTCTATAGATGTCCATTCTTTCTTTTTTTCATTTGTTACTGCACTTCAATATTTACTGATCCGTAATGTTTTGACGGGCCCACCATAAATGCGAATCCAGCAGCTGCGGATTTGTCCTGCGGAGACCGCGAGAGCTATTTTCACCGTATTTTCAAATTATAATAAAAAAAAGGGGGGCATTTACATACATACCTCCCAATTCTTATTTATTTACATAGCTGATACCGAATAATAAATGTAAATTCAAAAGAAATGAGTGGTATGTATGCAAATCTTCCTAATTCCAAACGCAAGGCGAGAGCGCGAAACCGTCTTTACGGGAGGAGAAGCCCAAACCCTAGTTGGATATCAATCCGTTTCTCCATCCAAATTCAAATTTCAAACACTCGAGACTTATTCTCTCCCTCTCTCTGCTGCCTCTTCCATTTCGAATTCTGTGCATGGCTGACACAGTGCCTTTTTAGAATTCAGCGCTACTGGTAAGCTCAGTGAACTTGAATTTTCCACTGGTTGAATCTAACCTACCAAGGCAATTAGAAGTTCAGTTCTAAGTTTCGCTGCCGCTTTGTTACATGTATTTCGATTCAATCAGTCTTTGGTGCTTTGATCCAGATAATCATCCATGTCATGGGAAGTGGCGTTTTACTGTCCAGTGGAAGTCTGGCTATGGTAACTGTGGGATACAAGCAGAGATGAGCACGCTAAAAGTAGGATTTGTGTGATTTATAATGGAGATGAATATGGGCTTGATCTTGCTGTAAGTTCTTCTGCAAGTTTGCACAATATGAGGACTCAACGGATGCGTGTAAAGGCTAAAGGGACTGGAAGGATGGTAAACCCGCAGCAGGCAATATATGAGCTGAAACACAAGTTGGTTATGTCTCTTAATAAACTTGCTGATCGGGACACTTACCAAATTGGGGCGGAGGAGCTTGAGAAGATTGCTGAAGGTTTGACCCCTGAAGGGATTATTCCGTTTCTATCTTGTATTATTGATATTGATTCAGAGCAGAAGAGTGCGGTAAGGAAGGAGTGCATTAAGGTTCTGGGAACCCTTGCTAGGTTTCATGGGAACTTGATGTCTGCTCATATTGGGAAGATGGTGTCCAGTATTATTAAGCGTCTCAAGGATTCGGATTCAGCTGTTAGGGATGCTTGTGTTGAGACAGCTGGTGTTTTGACAATGACTGCGGAGAGCTCTGGTGGAGGTGAGAATGGATTTGTCGCATTAGTCAAGCCATTTTTTGAGGCCTTAGGTGAACAGAATAGATACGTGCAGACTGGCTCTGCATTGTGCTTGACAAAAGTTATTGATGAGGCTAGAGAACCTCCCATCGCTCTTCTAGCTCAGATGCTTACTCGGGTTGTCAAGCTGCTTAAGAATCAGCATTTCATGGCAAAGCCTGCCGTCATTGAGCTTATAAGAAGCATTGTTCAGGTTTGCTGACTTGCTATTTAGGCATTTGGTTTTTCCATTTTGGATGCTCATTAAATTAACTTTCAGGTTTGTTTGGCTACAAGGTTTATCTCATATAGAATTTAGTTAATCCTACAATACAAAATTAGTTATTCTTGACAGCATTGAAACCTGAAAATTGTTTGGTATTACGACTATTAAATCCTAAAAATATGTCTTGCCATTTCTTTGAGGATTTAGGATCTGCTAGAGTGAGAAATTCTTAAATTCATTCAATTTGGTGAATCATGGGATCCCCGCATTTACCAAATGACACTGATGAAACAGGATCTGCTAGAGTGAGAAATTCTTAAATTCATTCATGGGATCCCTGTATTTACCAAATGACACTGATGAAACTGGATTTATCAATATGGTAGGATTTAAAAATGAAAAAAAAAATGTTTTATAGGATTCAAGCAAAATGTTGCTCAGGTACTCCCTAAAACAGGATAGAAAACGGCCCCCTGATTTGTTTCGTTGACATCCTAATTTTTCCTTAACGTCTATGGGGGCATTTATTATTTGTTTCCAGGCAGGTGGAGCTTCTGCAGAGACTTCTTTACAATTGGCAGTGACCAGCATAGCCGAAGCACTCAAATGTACTGACTGGACAACCCGCAAAGCTGCTTCTCTTGCATTAGCTGAAATAGCAGGCAGTGCTGGATCAGCACTAGGATATCTGAAAACTTCTTGCATTTGTTCTCTTGAATCTTGTCGTTTTGACAAGGTTAGTTGTATAAAACTATTTTTAGTTTGAGTGAAGATAAGCATCTATTTGCAATTATTTAGAATGGTTTTTTTTTCATCTAGGTGAAACCTGTCAGGGATGCTGTAGTTCATGCTTTACAATGCTGGAAATTTATTCCAGGAACTGATCATTGTGATCCTTCAGAAGCTGGGTCATCTACCAAAGGTTTAAAACGTTTAAAATAAAGTACTTTTTATAACAGAAGCGGATGAACTTTTCACCAAGCAGTAGTATTTTGGATGTTTTAGGCTATCAACTGCATTATTTTGTGTAACTCAACTTTATTCTTATTTATATCACTACCCTGGAAACTATCTGCATCTTGTCTTTCAGGTATTTGAAATATGCGAATATTGGAAGTTAGCCTTGATTCTTGAATATATATAATATAGGGGTTTTGTCGTTTAACGTTTTTCTTCAAAACTTCTTATGCTTCTTATATCCTCACCTTAATAAAAGACAAATTTTTTTGTTGCAAAGTTTCTTGTTTAGATATTTGTTTTTCTGTTAGTGAAACATTACACTATGCTAGTCATGTAACCAAGGATTTAAGTTGAATCTACTGGTACTTGAGAATGGTCATATTATTTTTTTGTTTGAAGTCGTTTGCTCAGATGTCAGCTCATAAGCACCTATTCAGCTAACAAGGTGTTATGGAAGATGACTTATAGAATAAGGTAGACAGGGAAAGGCGTGCATTTGATGAGTCGAGTGATGTTTTGCTTCAGCTTCATGTTGATCATAATATCATATTATTACCTCTTATATCAATTGAACAGTTCTCTCTTAATAATGCCATTTCAGCTTCTCTTAAATTTAAAGTGATTAGTTGGTGAGTAAATAAAATATAACTAAAATATAAGTAAATTTGAATTTAAATTTGAAGTTAATATCATATGGTAAATGTAATTAGCTATTAAATAAACTATTTGGCATACATGCTTAATATTGAATTGCTTACATAAAATTAAAAAATATATTTTTAATGAAATAGTTATGCTTTTAAATTCAAAACTTTGTCTTGTCATCTTAAATTGAAATATTTTGTTATGCATGGTGTGATATTTAAATCTATTTGAATTCAATTTGAAAATTATGTGTATTGGCTATTTGATATGCCACTTAAATGGAGTTCTTGACAATTATAATCAAACGTGTTGTAAAAACTTAGTTTAGTGTGTGTGTATGGGCTTGATTCTTGACTAGAAATTAAAGAGCATAGGGGAAGGGAAATGTTCTAATCCTCTCTGTACTGCTAAATATTTTTAATTTACTTTTTATCTTGAATGCATAATTTCTAACTTTGGTTTACTTATATTCTTCCGAGGTTGAATTCTACTTTCCAAGTTTTATTAGTTTTCTTGTTAATGATTAAGGGGTGCCCGTGTTTGCTATTTTTTATGATATTAAGATGAACATTCTAGATTGCATTGTGTTTTTTCTTTAGAGAAAATTGTTAAAACAGTTTCATGACTTTTCGTAGGTGGTCATTTTAGTCAAAAACTCTACAAAATTGCCAATTTAGTTTCATGACTCTTTTAATATGGGCTGAAATAATCCTCTTAATCCCCAAAGAGGATTATTTCGGCTCCAATTTAA